GCATGCACGCAGTGAGAAATGGGGCCACGAATGCTTAGAGATGCCCATATGGACTTTGAAGAAGTGCAAACTGACCAGAAAACAGAGTAAAAGAATGCGGAGTTGACAAAGATGAGACCCTGCCCTTTTTGGGTGATCAAAATCTGTAAAATCTGTGGGAAAGGGTGTACTGTGCCCCTCCCTCCAGCTCCCCGTTCAGATTTTTCCATGGAAGGCTTCCAGTGAATTGACAGTAACTATATTTGGCCACAGAGCAATTTGCAATAAAGATCCTTGCCTTGATAATTGTCAGTATAAAGAAGATGCCGCCAAGGTCTGTGAACTTCCAGGCAGTTCTCCGCCCAGGAAGGGGAAATGGGATGACATTTTTTTCCTACCGGCCCCTTTTCCCTTGCACAATAGCTCTGCTTCCAGGGACTGTAAATGTGCCGAGGACAAATTCTTTCCAAAGAACCTGTGCAAAAGTAAAAACCTCCCCTTTCCTGTGGCTGTTTTGGTTTGGAGCCCAAAGCTGCACAGATGACACTTCAGAGGGAACCACCTGAACTCATTTGAGGTGATGCAGTTCCTTTGGTGAGGTGGGGGTGTGGCCAAGGCAGGACAGGTAAATCCAGTTCCACCTGGCTCTGCGGAAACACCGCCCCTTGCAAAGAGATCCAAGGGTGTCAGAATCCTTCTGCCAATGGATTGCCCGGAAGGGAGGCATCAGATGACGGGGAGACCATTTTTCATTGGCCAGGCAGCTTTGGAGGAGAATCGGGGTGCCTGTGTGTCTTCTGGCCTTCCTCGCCTCCTCTGAGCTCCCCTGAGCCGACAGCTGGTGGACTTGCTCCAGGAAGCCCCGGGGCTGGGCCTTTCCTTCCAGCCCCTGGATCTCCCGCGGCTGCCCGTCCTCTGCCACCCTCCGCTTGGCCCAGAACCCCGTTCCATCACCCAGTGCGGTCACCCTCTCCCGCCACGAGGCTCTCTTCGAAGCCGCCCAGCCCGTCATGGCATGTGGGTTTCTGACAGGTTCCGCTTCGCCTTCGGTGAGTCATCCTCCAGGGGCACCTTAGGAGCAGGGCGAACTTTGCAGAGGCAGGGGTGCCCCCCCCCCGCCGGGCTGGCGTGGGCCGGCCAAGGCCTCCGTCGGCTTCTCTGGGGCCTGTAGGGACAGATAACCGTGTTCGGCTGCCTCCACGGCAGGTGATGCTCCGGACCATCTCGGGGGCTGGGGAGGGGAACCCGTTGGAGGTGCAGGTCAGAAGCTGCTTCGAGGCGGAATTAGGAGGGCGCCCAACTCTTCCCCCTTGAGGCCAGGCCCTTGCCGCTTTGCCCATCAAGAGCCCGTCTGCCACGGGGACAGCTCCGTTTACCCCCTCGAGCACAGCCCCCGTCAGACTCCCACCTAAGCAAGAATCCAGGAGGGTCCCCAGGGAAGCCCACAGACATTTCGGCGTCCTCTTTCTGAAACGTTACTTTCTGCTTTTCGTGCGACTATGTTTCTGTTTCGGTTTGTTTGGTCTTTCTGGATTTTTTCCTTTTTCGTTTCCTTTTTTTGTTTGTTTTGCGCTCTTTAGCGGAGTTTGCAAAATGTTGCCCGGCTCTTCAGCAAAAAGATACTAAGTTAAAGATGTTGGTAATCCGCGAAGGGAGATAGCGAGCGTTCCCCAAATGAAAAGGCTTCCATTCCTTGGGGTTGGCTGGGCGGCTGGGAGGGAAATACCACTCAAAAATGCCGCTTTGTGAAATCCCCCCCAAGTAACGGTGCCTGGCAGGAGGGAAAGGAAGGGTCAGGGTTAGGGGTGGGGGCTGCGTGTTTTTGGTCTTTGCCGGCTCACGCTCAGAGGCCATCACACACACACACACACACACACCCCTTTGCAGTGGCTTGGAACCAGAGGTAGACTGCCTCTGGACATGGAGGTTCACAGTGCAGCTGCTGTAAAACTACCCTGCCCAACAAATTCTAACCTTTTTATCAAAAGGCTTTATGCTGTCATAGGCACGTCCTTGGGCTGCCAAGGTGGACTGAGTCCTGTCATTAAGGTGCAGGAAATGAGCCTTTTCGAGCATGCCGTACCTGCCCTGGGAAACCAAAGTGGTGCTTGAAAAGGCTAATTATGATCATTAATCGGGTGGCTTCACCGCCGGTGGCTTTTCCAGATGTGGAAGGGCAGTGGCACCCCCCCAGGTGTGCATACTTTTAAAACCAGGTTTGCAGTAGGATCGTTTGATGATCATGTTGGCTTTTCATTTTAAGCTCTTCTTTGTAAGACCTGTTCCACCCCCCTACCCCCCCACCCAGGCTTTCTTTTTTTTAGCCTGTGATTATGGCCAGCCCTTGCAAGCACAGAGAGAGCGGGAAAAGGAATTGCTCCATGCCACAGTCTAAGAAGGGTGCTTGGATGGGCAGGAGGGTGCCCACCGTGGGCACCCAGGATGGGAGGGGTCTGGAGGAGCCAGGTTTTCTGAGGGTGGTCTGAAGGCAGCGGCACGTCCGGCCTGCGCAGGAGAAGGCACGGCTGGGGGTCCTTCAGGCACTGGAGGGGCTGCCCCAGCGATGGACGGCAGCAGGCTTCTTGCTTCCACTGCTGTATTGAGCAGGGTGGGGGGGGTCTCCCTTCCACGTGGGGGGGCTTCTGAAATGCCCAGAGGCAGGCTGGGGAGCAGCCACCGTCACCCTCCGAGACCCCTGATGTGAATCCCAATTTGGGGGATCAGCAGAGGGGGAGGTATCAGCCAGGCAAGGCTTCCAGCAGGATCCGGCCTCCCTGCAGTCCATCGTCTCCTCTCCTCCTTTAAGCAAGCAGACCCTCCTCTGGCATTTCATAGCAATATTGCACATTCATCTGTCCACACCTTGGCGCCAGGCGCTGGCAGATTCGGCAGCTCAGGACATGGGTGGGGTATGGCATCCATGCCTCAGTGACCCACTATTAACTTGAAACCTCCATAATGACACCGGGAGCCTTGGAAACTGGCAAATTTCAACTTCTGGGGAGATGGGATTAAGAGATGCAGCTGCTGGGGTACGCAAAGTCTTCCCACTTGGAGGTTGGCACAAGGGCAGAAAGCAAAGCCAGGTCCCCTTCCAAACCTCTGCCTGCATCCAAGCTGCCTCTGCCATTCAGGCCGTCCTGCACACGTGTGCCTCGGCAAGATGGAAGCTGCTTGCTTTCAAGAGGCATAGCCAAAATGTAATTTCCAAGCCAGGAGCCCTTCCCAGCGATGCCTTCTGAGACTCGAGAGTGCCGCTTGGGTGCACGGCTAATAGAACAGAACAAGAAATTGGGTTTATTGCTGCTGGAGAGTAGGGACTGTCTTCCAGACAACTTGGAGTATTGCAGAAATCTGCATGCGTCTATCCAGCGCCCTGATTTCCAAGGCAAACCCCCCCAGAGCAGCATCAGCACACTGTCTTGGATGGAGGGGGGCTGTCGTCCCCACTGAGGTCACACAATCCTTTTCTGATGGCTGAATGCACAGGAAGCAAGGGTTCCTAAGGATCTCCCTGCAGCCGTTGTTATTGCACTTGTAGAAGGGGTGAGCCAAATTCCCCCCATGTTTTAAAGATTCGGCGCAGGGGGCTTTGTGCTGGCAAAGTGGAAACGGAGCCATTCCGGCCTTTTTGCCAAGTCCTCACTTTGAGAGGAGGATCGTTGGCTGGATGGTTCTTCCTCCTTTCTCCCCCCCCCCCGTGCAATTCTCCGGCAGAATTCCAGCTGGGCCTTTCCGGGGGGGGTCATTCTGATCCCTGCCCCGGGAGGGGGAGTCCAGCCAGGAGCCCTCATCCAGCCCCCGCCCTGCTTCCTCCCCAGGGTCGAGGAGACCAGGGTCTGTTCTTTTCTGAGACGCAGTTCTGGGCCTGGCGTGGTGAGAATGCCGAGCCAGGCACGGAATTTGTCTCCTCGGGGGATTCCCAAGAGTGGTTTTGGGAGGAGAAGTCTCAGGTGAACCGCTGCATTCCCGGCATTGCTCAGAGGCCAAGATCGGGGTGGGGGGGTAATTATTTTTCAGGGGACAGCTGAATTCAGAAGGCCCAGATTCACCAGCATTTATTCCAGCTCCTCCTCGTTGATGGCCACTGTGTGTGGGGTGGGTGGGTGGGGGTTTCTTTCGATATG